TAAACTTGACCTTTGGTCAAAAAAACCCCTTGTGGATTCTTAATACAAATTATAATAAAGATAAAGGCAAAACCTTAACTTAAAAAAAAAAAAAATTTATAAATTATTCTGATAAAAATTTTTAAATTTTAAAAAAATTTTATTTTTATATATAAAATAATATAATAAACATTTTTACTTAATAAATAAAAAAAATAGTTTATATAATAAAAAAAAGATATAAATTAAAAACTAAATAATTTAAATATTTTTTATAAATTTGTAAATTAATAATTTAATTAAAATATAATAAATTTTGAGGATGTAATGACCTAATGAAATAGTAAGATTGTCAATCTTCCAAATGGCAGATTGGATGTCCAAATTCTATTAACAGTAAAAATTTAGATAATTACCTGTATAATATTTATATTATATTAATTATTACTAATTTTTAGATTAGAATTCTTGTAATAATAGTCATATTAGTATAACTAGCATATCATAAAACATCTATATAAGTATAATATTATACAAAAAAATACAAACTGACAATTAGGTGATGCAAACACTAGATAAATTCTTGTAACTATATAAATCTGTTAAAATTAAATAACAAGAAGCCTATTTGAAGAGATTCAAGTAGAGAGATAGTTAGATCTTTAATAATGCTATTATAAAAGTAGATTATTGAAAATAGATATTAAAATAATAGTATCTAAACAAGCAAAAACCTTCAAGTTAAAGAAGTTTCAAAGGTACTACCAACCAGATTACTAGAATAAACTAGAGGAAAAGGATATTGAGCCAACTCAATATACTAATAGACTGGTCATAGTTCTATACAGACTATCTGAATTAGAAATCTAATGAAAAGATAGAGATATAAAAAGTACTAAAATATTCTGTAAAGTAGATGTTGAGGTCTGTATAAACTCTACAAAAGCATAGCAGTTTAATAGTTAGTTCTGATTATAAGTGCTAATTCTGCTATAGTGGTACTGAGTCAACTGTAAAATAAGTACAGAAGACTTTAGACAGTTTATTTTAAAGATAAAATAGTTCTAAAGTTAAGATAATGATCTGAACATCTAAATATGACCTAGTGAAATTAATATAAGTTGCAGATTTAAAGAGTTTAAAGTAAAACACCCAAGCAAAGATGTTAGGTATAGCAATTGATAAGAAACTTTCAGGCAAACTTCTTAAATAGATAATATAGAAAAGTTATATATATAACCAATTGTATATTCTTCTATAGTAGTTCACTAAATCATATTACTAAAAGAAGTTATTAATAAAAGTCCAAAGATTAAAAAAGTTATCTTAACATCAAAAAAATATATATAATAAATTTATTTTTAAACCTTAATATTATAGTATATATAATCCTAAAAATATAGTTTAGGATAACAGTTTTTATATTTAATATTATTAATAAGCTTTTAAATTTATTTTATAAAATATAATATATCAGAAGTAATAATATGGCCTATAGATAACTTTTTTTATATTATTAAATACATTCTAATAGCTTTTTATTAACTATATGTTTTTTAATGTTAGTGACAAACATTTTAAATTTTTTCTAATCTATTCAAACTTAAATCTAGTTTAAAATAATTAACAAACAGCATTTATAGAAAATAAAAAATGTAATATCATATTGGATACCTTCTTGTAATACAAATATAGTTAGAAATTTTTAATTTTAAAACTTTTGTTTCTATATACATGTAATAAAGTTTTTACCTTAACATTATTGAAATAAAAAAAATGTTTTTTTGAATCAATTAATCAAATAAATGCATGGTTATATTAATAATACTGCAATAAAAATAATATAACTAATTACGATTGTTCTATATTGATATGCATAGTTTATTGACAAATTTACTTTTTTGATTCATTAAGATTCTTATCTATATCAAACTATAGTTGTAAGAAAACAGTAACTACAACAAAAACTACTATCACTAAAATGATAATAACTACAGCTACTACTACAAAAGCAACTATAGCCATAATAACAATCATGACCATGATAATAGTAATAATCTTAATAACATTTAAGTAAGCAAAATTGCAGAAGTAAAGTCTGTAAAGTATGTAAATATTTTTAAAAAGCTGTATAAACAATAAATAAAAAACCCTATATGTGACATGTAAAATTGTATCCATAAAGAGTGATACATTTGTTAGGATTATTCATATTCGCAGAATTTTGTTAATGACTGAATACTTTACTCTTATTCATTTCCATTCCTAATTTCATATTCGTAACAATAATCAAACTAAAATGCCTCATCCGGATCACTCAAATCAATGACATTCAGTTTATTAAAAGTATGGTGACTCAAATAATCTCTTCTGATATGTTATTGACTTTATTTACATAGGAATTAATTTCATCAAAATAATTTGTATTATGTATTGTTTCATGTAGTACATCACACAATGCTTTGTTGCTTGTAGTAAATATGTTGTGCCATTACTTCAGGCCACATTTGACTAAAATTATCACCAAAATTGGATATCATAAAGGCGAAATTTTCGATGTGATAATTAAAATCAAGTGATACAATAGAATCATAATAATAATAATAATGATAAGAATAATAATAATACATTGCGCAGAGTTACTATATCAATATAAGCAGTAAACAATGATTTTGTAATTATTTAAATCAAATAAATTTCACACCGGAATTCATTAAAATACACTATTCATGTTTCATTAGTATATAATGTGAACCAAAATAAAAATATTAATTTATTTAATTAGGGTTTCATAATTAAAACCAAAGAATCTACTATTAAAAAATCTTAATTATTTCAAAATGTGTCACCTATTTGTTAATTATGAAACCCCTATTGTTCAACATTTTAAATTGATTGAAGAATAAAATTTTCACATATAAATAAGAATTTGTTATTTTATAAATAAAGTATTCTATACAGTTTGATCTTATAAATAGAATAAACTTATAACCCATTCCAATTTGAACTAGATAAAAAATCAATTGAAATTGAAATCGGTATGGTATCCATAATATTACTTGATCAAAAGAATAAAAGAAGTTTTGTAATATTATATGTTATCTCTTTTTGTGATTAGCTAAGAAAACAACGTGCAGAATGTGCAGGCTGTTTCTCAAAATTCCTCTTATTCATTGTTTAAGTTAAAAACATAAATACATTTTACCAATTTTCCAGTAAATATGATAAATAAAGGGAGTTAAATCGGGTAGCTAAAAGTTCTATCGAGGGATTAATAAAGATATTACCTAATACTACAAGTTATGGATTGTGGTAGTATGATTTCATAAGTCTAATTGACATATTAAAGATATATGAAGTCCTGATAATAATAATTACGTGAATTACTTTAGCTGTGCCACCTAAGTACTAAGAAAAATCCCTTTCACAAAGTGTATAAAAATCACCAAATAAGAATATTTACTAAAAGAATAATCAAGAAACTTTTTTTCTAACTACTTGCCAAACATCATAATCCTCGACCGTGTAAGAAGTAGCGGCTTGTAATTTTGAAAAATTTTTAAAGTCCGGATAATTAGTTTTACTATTACCTTTTGACGACCATATTTTTAAAACTGGTTTAGAATCAAAAAAATAATAATAATTTTTTGAACCAAATATTGGACCATAACCTGAACAATATCCAGCAGCAGAATTATTTCTTTTAACACGAGCAATTTTTGTAGTACTAAGGTCATTTTCATTATCAAATAAAAATAAAAAATTTTTATTTGATTTTGAAAATGAATAATATGGATTTTTTTTGCGACAATAAGGTTTCCAACTTATATTATTATAACCACCAAATAAACATAATTCCGAATTACTTAAACGTAATTTTGCTATTGTCACAGTTGGACCTGTATTATCACATAATTTATGAAATTCAGTAGGACCACCTCTTTTTGAACAATATAAAGGGATAAAATCGTAAGGATTATTATTAGAATTATAGAATAATGTATCCTTTAGTTTTGAAATTGATCGCTCCGATGTATTATTTGATTGAAATAGTCCAGATAAGAAGCTTTGAGAACCTTTTTCCAAATCCTTTTTATCAATCCAACTAGCGATTATATTAAATTGATCAGATTTAATATGAGGCATATGATCTAATTTATACCTTGGAGGTAAAATGATAATTTCTTTAGGTAGTGAACTAGGATCCAAATGATAATTTAGAATATTATTATATAAATTAGATGATAAAATGTTTTCAAAAAAGGAAATATTTTTCCTAAATTCTTTCCCAGATATTTGATACCAACGAATCAAAGGAATACAATCATCAATAGCAATTTTTAATATATTATAATCATCATCATTCCAAGTTTTCATGTCCTCGTTTTGAAGAGTTAATTGATTTTTAGCAATACCCCATTTTACTAAATAATTCCAAACATCAATTTCATTTAATTTTCCTAAATCATCACGTTGTAATATAAGAGTAAGAATTGATTGATCTAATTTAACAAACTTTTGATGATCAAATAATGATTCAGGGGAAGAGCATATAAATTGAAGGCACATGCTACGTAATGATTCACAGGAATCATATTGAAAGGCTATTTTCAATACATCAACGGAATCATGTTTCATAAAACTTTCGAGATCTTGGTGCATAAAAAGGATTATTTTGTCAATCAAATCTTTAAGATTTAATTCATTTACAGCCACAAAAAGTTTCAAGATTTCTAAGTCATCCAAAATAATTTTAGCGGTATATAAATACCTTTTTTAAAAAATAAATAATTAATAAAAAAGAGTAATTAATAAAAAAATTTTTTTTATGAAATGAAATCCATAAGTAAATGTTTAAACTATGAAATAATAAAATTTATATATTACCTTAAAATAGTTTCAAAAGTATTTGTGGAAATATTTTTAAAATTAAAAATTGTAAACTTTCCATCTTTTTCAATGGTATTATAAGAAGCATCAAAAAAGTCAGGAGAACGAGTGTTTAAAATAAGGGAATGAGCGTGAAATTCCTTCAAATTTTGATCATCACCAACACGAATGATTACATCATAATTTGGATCATCTTGAAGTAATTTTTCATTAATTTTAGCAAGATCCACGTATGAGGCTTCTTCAAATTTTTTTATATCTTGCTTAACGGGTTTAGTCCTTGATTTTAACATTACAGTTTTTGCAGGTGGTGTGGTGGAATCAAGATAATAAGACAATATATCTTGATATAATTCTTTTGATAAAACATTTTTAAAGAAAGATTTTTTCTTCCAAAATTCAGAAGAAGAAATGTTATTCCAACGAATTAAAGGAATAAAATCAAGAATGATATCTTTTAAACGGATAAAATCATTTTCATCCAAATTTGTAAGAAGTTTATTTTGAAGACCAGGATTTTGAGCAGTGCCCCATTTGATTAAATAATTCCAAATTTCCATTTCGGTTAAATTACCTAAATCATCACGTTGCATTATAAGAGTAAGAAGAGATTTTTCTAACTTTGTAAATCTTGGATGCTCAAATAATATTTCAGGATGAGAGCATATAAGATGAAAGCAAGTATCACGGAGCGGTTTACAGGCATTATAATTAAAAACAAATTGCAGAATGATGATTGAATCATTCTTCATAAATGCTTCTAACTTTTCTTGTATGAAAGGTAACAGCCTATCAATAAAATCTTGAAGAAGTAATTCATCAGCAGCAACCAAAAGTCGTAAAGTCTCAAGATCACTCAAGTTATTTAAAATAATCTCAGTAGTATATATATATCTTTTAATAAATAATAAAATTAATTTGTGATCAATATTGAAAAAATTAGCAATGATGATAAAAATAAAATAATAATAATAATAATAATAATAATAATAGTAATAATAATAATAATAATAATGATAGTAATAATAATAAATAATACAGCAATTATTGTTATTATTGTTATTTTGAGGAAGGAGAGAAATTAATGTTTAAGTACGTACCTTATAATAATTTCAAATAAATTTGGAGAAATATTTGGTATCATAGAAGCGAAGCAATCACCTTCTTTTTTAGCCCAGTTAGCAGAAAAAGCGGCGCAAAAATAATTTGAACGTGCGTTCAATATAAGTGAATGTGCTCGAAATTCCTTCAAGTTTTGTCCTTCACCAGCACGAATAATAACATCAGAACTACGTCCATGTTGAAGTAATTTTTCATAATCACGGGCGAGATCTTGAGGAAAGTCCAAATTCATTATTATAAATATTTTTAAATACGTATCTATCTCTGAATCAATGTTTAGATATTTATTGGCACTCATCCATAGTTATTATTCGTATATAAGAATAAGTACGTACACACCTAAAAGACTTTTAATTATATTATGTAAAATGAATGAATAATACAATGTTTTTTTAAAAAAGGATCTACTTAGTACAAGTGACAAATGTAACAGTTCTATTTAAATGAGAAAATTCTGCAAAGTTACGATTGTGTTACACGAGTAGGTTTTTAAATATTTATCATACCCTTGTTATATATTTTTTATCAGAGTATTATAATTTTTCTATTTGACACCTTGGTTAGGCCAGAATGCATTTACGCTGTATAGTTTCCTTCACTACTCCGATACATATACCGTGTAAATGCAGTATCGGTATGTTTTTTTCCCTATAAAATTATATGTAAAACAAAGTTTCATTTAAGTTCAATGTTTGATCACAATGTATGCATGATCGGACAGTTTATTCCGGTCAGATCATTTTATTCTTTCTATTCCTAATTTTTAGAAATTTATTATCGTTATCGTTATGATTTGTCTATAAAGAGGAGCGAATAAATTCGGTAGATTTATAAATTTATTACAATGAATTCTTCCCAAATACAACAATTCCTAAATGTACACATATATTTCTTCTTTTTTTTTTTTTAGTTCAGCTCCGAACAAATGACTCAGGAATTTTGCATTTGTCAGTACTGTAAATGCAGCCTTCCCTAAATGTTATGCCTCCTCATAAAAGGATGTTAAAATTTTAAATTATTAGTATTATAAGTCGACATCCCTTATTATCTATCAGCCCTAATGTTTCTCGACTAAAGTACCACAAACATCTTGGCAATTGAATCAAATTTGATTTACGAAAGTCAGTTGTATTTTCACACGTAATACTAAAAATGTTTTCTAAAGAAACATTGATTAGTTTAATTTATTATTATATTATTATTGTTATTATTATTATTATTATTATTATTATTATTATTATTATTATCATCTTTATGCTATCAGTTTATTATTGCCATTGAGCGTACTCTTAGGAAAACAGTTTTTTTAGGGTATTGCTATTGCCACCCCCTATTTTTGCTAATGCCACCCTTTATATAATCTAACCCTAATTAAGAATTAGGGTTAGGAATGTTGGAGGCCAATCAGATTAAGCAAGGGGTGACATTAGCAAAAATAGGAGGTGGCTATAGCAATTCCCTTTTTTTATTATCATTTTTTCTTTATTGGTTTATCTAGGAAATTATTTTCTTTATCGGTTCATTATTGCCACCGAGTGTACTCTTAGGAAATCAATGGCTATTAATGTAGGATACAGTACAAATGGCAGTCTCTTGGCATAATTTGTGATACGTACGATATTTCTTTAAGAGTATAACAAATACTGCTTTATTAACCGTAAAAGGAACTCTAAAAGGAACCTTTGTTATCTGAAAATCCATGTTCCGGAGTTGAACGATTTCCAGAGAAAAGTTTTAGATTGAATTAATACTAACTGTAGCTTAAACTTATAATATTCAGATTTCATGCCTTACACAAGGCATATAGTAAAAAGGTACGTATATGCGTACTGATTTGGATCTAATATTAGAGTTTAATGACCTCATATTTAACTTCAATCATCATTCTTAGCACCATATAAGAAACAAAAATCAGGGTGCAGTTGATGCACCATCTATACTTGCATCCTGCCCATACTTGTATTTAATAAATTAAGAGAAAAAAAGCTTTTCATAATTCTTAGCATTACAATTCCTGAAATTGTGACACGCAAATACAGCGATGTTTTTTTCGATTTTTAACAGCTGCCCTACCTTTGTTTAGTGCATCGGAGTGCGTCGAGTATAATCCAAGTTTACAGAAGGAAGGCGTTGCGAATACAAAGCAAAATTTCCAATTATATTATATAATTGAGAATTTACTTTGTATTCATAACGCAGGAAAATGCCCTCCTTATGCAAACCTGGGTTACACTCGACGTACCTTTGATGCACCTTTGACATGGTAGGGCAGCTGTTAAAAATCAAAAAAAACTCTGCAAATACTATATTTTTTTTATTACATGTTAAAAAACAGGTGTTTGTGGTCTGAATATCGATATGCCAAGTTCCCCTCTTAAGAAGTCATAAGAAGTCATAAGACCAGAAGTAACATACCGGGAACGGAATTTTCCGTAAGAGATGATTTATAGAAATGTTAGATGATGCGAATCTACCAACTCTTGCATTTGGTTGGATGCCGCGATTGGCTATGTCTTCCAAATTTATCAAAATGTGGCGAATGCGGGAAAGCTCGGATTTGTGAATTTGATTGTTAATAAAACGATAATCCATTATGCTATGTTTTGCGTCAATGTACTACCATATGACCAAAAAGTAACAATGTTTTTTTCAATTTATCGGTTTGGTGCAACTTGAGATGATTGAATAGTTTTTGATTATTAATAATTATTAATCAAAAAGTTAGTCGATCGCTATAATCGGACTAAGCTTCGCGTTAGTCCTAATTGACACGTACCGATGGGACTGTCTGTTAACTAAGTAAAACTAAACTATATACGTAGTATGGAATAAAAACTTGGTATGAAATTTTTCGTGCAATATAATATTGATTATTTTATTGGCTAGATGCTGGGGTCATTTTCGCTAAAATTAGATGTTAGTGTAATTTTTTAAAAAGCTAGTAAGTGAAATGGAATGTCGTTGAAATAGCTGTTAGTGAAATAAACCTGTCGGCGAATTGTCGGTAAAATGATCCAAAAATTTTAGGAGGCTTGCACATTACGATGTGCATTTTCATGTTTTTTTGATTTTTCAGCGTAGAGTACGTACATGCGTATGTATAATTGTTTCTAGTGATCAGTACTGTACGTGGCACATCACTACTTGCACAATAAGCTTGATTAACTTATGATCTTTTGGGGATTCTTTTTACTACCAAAGCTCACATATTTTATGCAACTTTTTATTTGTATCTTTTTATTTAGCTAATATTTATAACGATCTGATTTTAATGGACTTACTCCATTTTGCCAATGCCCATTTAACTGACATCACATGGATGGCAATTTACCGTTAATATACATCTGTAACTAGAACTATAAGGTCTAGGTAATGTCGGTTAAATGTTATGAAGGTAAAACGGGTGTTGAGAAAATAAAATCCACCCGATTTTAATTAAAGTTCATTGATGATTTTGGTGATTATGCTAGGAGGAGTGTAATGATTATATATAAATAGGTTCTTTTTTGAAGTAAAATTAAGTGTATCTAGTCCAAATTACATATTATAAGAGCTATAAAATAAGTTTAATCATTAATAATTAGGATCGAGTATATGTGCTTTCATTTAGATAGATCAATACAAACAAAAAATTAGAATGAAATTAACAACTAAGCTGTCACTTTTTCACAAGAACTCAACATATAAAAAATTATTTTACAATACCAGATCATTCCGCTAGCACATACCATTTTTTTTATGATAATAAAATGTATAATCATAACATTTGCTAGCAGAATGATTTGGTATTGTAAAATAATTTTTTATATGTTGTGGTTCAATGCAGTCAGGTATTTTACGCGATATAGAATGATCTGCAATATACTAAGAGGCTATTCTAAACCCGATTTCTATTTTAAAAAAAAAGCATTATTTATTATCAAAAATAACAATCAGTTTTAAAAAAAACTTTAAAATATTCTTGCGAAAGTTATTTTATGAATATGTAGTCTAGGAATCCGTACGTAGGGTCTGAGGCTGTTGTGAGCCAAATAACAACATAGAATTAAAAAAGAATTTTCTAATTGAAGATCTTTTACCAGAAAAAGAAATTATCTGCAGTTACACGAATTTGAAAAGTCCCTGACTGAGTAACCTTCGCATCACTATTTCACTAGTCATGTGATGTTTGATTTAATAATGATCAATAGTGATAAACTATTAAATGTAATAAATCCGTTAAATTTCTAATGCATTTTTTGATTGATCTATTTTTCTCTTATATCGATTTCTCTTCTTTATTTTCTATGTTCTTGCATATATTCTTTTTATTATATTTGTCTTGCTTTTTTAATTTTGTTTGCTTGATTTATATTTTATTTTTTGTTTTTTTTTTGCACATTTTATTATTTTTTATTTTAGCATATTTTTAATTTACTTAATTTTTCTAATTTGTTTAATACAGTATATCAAATATGAAAACTCATGAAAAAAAATATAATTACTATAAAGATTAGTATTTAAAAGAAAGTTTTATTGAAAAAACTATAAAGTTATTGAATTATATTATTAGTACAAAGTTAATTGGTCACCTTAATACCAAAAAAAAAAAACAAAAGTTAATTAGAAATATATATAAAAAGAAAACAAAAAAAAATAAAAATAAAAAAGTTGAAAAATATCAAAACTTTGTTTATATCTGTAAACAAATTATAAATATTTTTTTAGAATTTTTAAAACCTTTTAAAGATTTTGAAATACTAGACTATGCAACTAAATATTAAATATTGAAATTATTATATTGATCAGATCAAAATGACTAATAAAATGAAAGTAATAACCTGATTGTTTATTAAATTATTATATTTATTTCAAAACTTAATAAGTATATATATATTTATTATAAATACAACAAATTAAAGAATAATATATTTTTTACATTTTATTTTAATTATAAGTTCTAGAGATAACAAAAAAAAATATGAATTAAAAATACTATCAAACAAAGAAATATATAACTTTAATTACTTTGTTATAAATAAGAAAACATAATTTTTTTTTTAAATATTAACAATAAGGTTATATCTTTAACTTTATTAAAATTTAATTAAAGTTTTTATAAAGAAAAGCTTGCTTTTAAATTACATATGAAGAATAAAGACTTAGGCATATAATCTATGACCTAAACCTACAAGAATGACCAAGATTCATCTAGATTTGGGTTTGAGTAATTTGTAATATTGAAATAGAAGA